AAAAAAATTATTCTTAAAGTATATTTTGCATTCTTGCATGAAATATAAATATTTGTATCCAGTGATGTCAAAGTTACAAAATTTCTCTGGAACTAGTTCAAGTTCCAGAACTAGGTTTTTAATTTTTGTAGTTCTAGTTCCAGTTCCAAAACCGCAGGCGAAAATTTTCCAGACATTTACTAGTTCCGTAGTTCTAGTTCCAAGCTAGTTCCAGGCATTTACTAGTTCCGTAGTTCCAGTTCCAAACTAGTTCCAGATAATCGTTAGTTCCGTAGTTATAGTTCTGGAACTGGAACTAATTAGTTCTGGAACTGGAACTTTGACATCACTGTTTGTATCAGTAAATATTAACTAACCACATTATACTTTGTTGTCAAAATGTTGGCTAACATTGTCTAAAATTTTTTAGATAATAATTAATAGCAACCTAACCCCGACCTTTTATGTATGCTTTAAAAATCCGGACTTCAAAATTATTTTCTAACCAGTGTAGAGACCTATTTTAAACTAGGGTCCCTTCGTGGTTGGGAGTGTCGGGTATAGGGATGTCCTGTAGAGCTTTCAGAATTCGTGTCGAGGGTTTCGGGTTGCTCCCCTATTTTAAACAATTACAGATACTAATAGGACATTATAAAATAAAAGATTTTAGGTGGTGAAGGATAAAAATTTACATTAAATTGCACATGAGAGAAGAAAAAATTGTCACAAATGTACAAAACACTCTTGGCCTTTTTACCCTGTCTTGGGGAGCTCTTTCTTTGAATTTGTTCATCTTCCATTTCTTCCGTCATAGGGCGTTTTTCAGGGTTGCGATAGCTTTCATTATCATCATCTGTAGCTCCCTCTCCTCCTTTCGAACAACAATCCCCTCTTTTAAATCGACGATGAAACAAAGGATTTTTTGCTTGTTTTTTTGGATTTTTTGAATGGACAGAGGATTTTATATTTGTTGGACATTTACACTTTGTCCCAATGGAAATGTTGATAAAAATTGGGAAAAATAAGAAAATGTAAAAAATTAATTTTAAATACATTTCCTTTAAAAATGTTAAAAATATTTTTAAAAAAAGTAAAATAATTATGCAAATATGTATTTTTATTAATTTTAGTTCTATTTTTGGACAGAGTACCTACTACAAACTTATACTAAACGTGTTGGAAATTTTTTATTCCGAGTTTTCCAAAATTTCTAATTTCCGACAGTTCCATCCTATCTCCCAAACCTTCGGTTTTCAGACTCAACTTTTAGCAGAATTTTATAAATAGCCTGATTGTAAGCATATAGCTATTTAATCCAGTCCGGTCTACTGAAATGCTGGTTCGCTCTCAGCCGCCGAATAACCTTATGCACTAGCTAAAGGAGAGAAAAAGCTATAGCCAAGCTGCTTTACCATATATAGACTTTATAAAATTAAATAAATGTAGAGGGAATAAGGGAGGGAGTGATTGCCCATGATTGTGTAATGCATGTGGCATGTAATGAAATTAATGCATGTGGCATGTAATGATTTTTTTATTAGAATTGACTATTGGATTTTTAAAAATTAATATTGACTATGATTATTAAGTTAAAAATTTACTTTAAAAACCCAAAAAAATGTTTTTTAATGTTTTAATAAAAATCAAATGTTTATATTCAGCGCAAATGTTGAAAAATTCCGTTCGCGATAACTTTTTTAAAGAATCGGCCAAGCAATGATTTGACACTCAAAGTTTACAAAAAATCTTAGAAGCTGGCCTAAGACAATTTATTTTTTAAAACTTAGGAATGTAAAAGGAATAAGTATTTACCGTATTCCTCTGATAGAATGCCCCTTTTGAAGGTGATTGAAAAATAGAATGCTCGGGCATCTCTTAGAGGAAATACGGTACATCGTTTTTCTTACATCATATACATATGTCTCTTAATCTCGTCAGCTGTTCTTATTTACCCAAGAAGACAAGAAAGGTTCTTGTACACTAGTGTTTTGCCGGAACTGAAAATTTGGCCGGAACCGGAACTGGAACCAAAAAATTCTGGAACTTCCGGCCTACCGGAACTTCCAGCAAAACACTTGTACCCCTCCAGGCCGGTCTCTAGTTATACATATACTTAGAAACCTATGAATCCAAATTTCATCTAAAGATTGCCTAAAACCAGGTCCCTAATAATATTTTTCCAGATAAAATCACATAAAAGCAACAGCCATTTTTGCCAATACCTTGCCAATATACTCCAATCTTTTTTTTCATTCCCGACCTGCTAATTATGCGCTTACTCGTTCCTTATTAGCAATTTTTATTTTTTAAAAGAAAAAAGAAAATTACGCCGCCTTTTGCAGTGATTATGCAATTGACCGATTCTGGCCTAATAAAAAAATATTTTTTGAAGGAATTTTTTAGTAATTTGCCGGCATTTTTCTAATGAGCTATTTGGGAGAAAATAAAAAATATTGGCATTTTTAATTATTTTTTTGATGGCTACCCACAAATTAAATGTCATTATTTATAAAATATTCTGCTATGCTATTTGGGTTTGGTCAAGTGTGAAATTAAAAAAAATTTCTGACATTATCGAAAAATAAAATATTTTTATTTTAGTTTCAAGCCTAGGCTCGCTACGGATGTACTACGGATATGAATCAGGGGTGAGCGCAAGAGACAACCACAAATAACGCAAGACGCAACGCAACGCAAATAACGCAAGACGCAACGCAAGGCGCAAAAGACCAAAATTTAACGCAATGCGCTCACCCCTGATATGGATGGCAGGTCCTGTGGAAAGTTAAGATATCCGGATCCGGAACCAATATCTGAACCGAAAATTTCCGGCAATCCGGATCTGCCATCCCTTCTAAGGAATATATGTACTACCCTGTGTAGAAACGTCTAACTCTTCCACTCTTTGGACTGAAATTTGACAAAATAAGTATGGGGGAGACCGTGATATAAATTGGCAAATAATAATTCGCTAAATTCTCATGTTGATTCCCTGAATATAAAAGTAGTGCCAACCTTCTAAGTATATGTTAGTGATGAAATTAATTGAATGTTCTCTTAGGGCAATAGGGAAAGATTTTCTTAAATTACATAATAACTGATAAATTTTTGGGCTCATTTTCTGTCGCAAAACACATAGCGACTTTTATGTAAGTAAAGAGCATTAGTGAGGGAAAAATAAAATTTATCTAGAAATTAAATTTCAAAATTATTTTAATTCTTTTAAAAAGATTTTTCAATTCTTTTGCCTTTTTTTAATTCTTCTAAATATTCACTCAATTTAATAATATATTCTTGTGCACCCAATAAAGTTTCAAATTTGCTTAAACGCCTTCCTTCTTCAAAATTTGGGGGGAGAACATTGCGAAGCTAGTTGAAATTTATTTAAAAAGATACAGTCGAATCACATTTTCAGACCCTCTCAGGTACAGTGGGATCCCGTTAATAATGTCACCCTTGGAACGAAATTGAGCCTACGTATGAATGAAGTATCGTGTTATCGATGAGTCGTGTTAACGGGATTCAACTAAATGTGGTTGGCCATCGTGTGAGAGGATCGGTCTAACCCCTAATTTAATGTACCCTCATTATAAGGTAAGATTTTTTAGAACCCAAAAAGTATCCAAAAATGGGATTCAACTGTTTAAATAGATTATTATTAAATAAAATATTACTTTATCAAAAGCTTTGTTTAAATGATTCATTCGTCTTCTCTCACGAGCATTGGCTGCCTTTAAAAATTAAAATTTTCAATAATTATTAAAATTAAGGTAACGACGGATTTTAATAAATAATCTTATTCTACTTTCTGATTTCTATACCGAAACGGCATTTAACCTTGCGATTTTAAACCAAGAAATACTATTTAACACCTTCCATTCTACAAACGAGTTAAAAACATAATTCACACATCTAATAAGCCCTTCCCTACCCTCCCTTTAGAGTTGGCGGATCTTGGGAAATCTTAGAATATCCGGAAACGATATCCAAACCGAAAAATTCCGGATATTCGTTTTTTTCTGATTAAGTATCCGGATCCTCAAACACTAGCCCCTCTCGATCCAAACTTAATTCCTCCGTCATATAATGGCACTAAATGAACCAGCAATTAAAAAATTTTATTTTCAACTTACTTCCCTTCTTAATCGTAATAATTGAGGACTGGGTGTTTTGTATCTTCTACTGCCCCCACCTCCTCCAACCCCTCCTGCTCTTTCATCTACTGCTACTATTCTTTTTAATTGTTTATTGTAATTTGTATTAGGGGATTGGTTGTTTTTTTGTTGTTTAGTTAAATTAATTAAATTATTTTCTGTACTTCTTAAAGAAAATTTTCCATTTAATGAACTTTAAAATTAGAAATAAATAATTATAAAATTAAGGGAAGGGAGTATTTGTGGATAGCCTCTATTAATGATCGGCCTGGGTCTGGACAAAAGCCTGGACAAAAGCCTTGGGTTTTCCTGTACACAGAGTCCAGGGCCAGTCATTTCTTGACCTTCCTGGGGGTTTCCTGGGCCTGAGTTTTTCCTGGACTACAGGCCCAGGTCGAAAAATCAAACACGGAACCCAGGAACAGGCCCAGGCTTTTCAAAAATTCCGATCTCTAGCCTCTATACTTCAACTACAGGCTATTATAACTAAGTTTTGAGGGTGTATCACATAGTATCTAGTCGAGCTTTGTCGGAGATCGACGGGATTTGATTCCCCCCTTACATCCCTGGAATTCCCAATTCCCGATTTTCTAATTTTGAGATTGTGCCTACTGCAAAGAACCTAATAATCATTGACAAACTAGGAGGATTTTTCTGATCTTGGGATTGTGCCGTTCCATTTCAAGAAAATTCCCACTTTTCTGGAAATGGGACGACACAAACTTGATATCTACCATAGTTTTTTTTAAATTAATCAAAATGACATCAAATCACGAGAAAACACATGTAATGGGGGATTAGAGTTCTATGTTACTTAACTAAATCCCATGGAGAGTCCTTTCCGTTAGGATAAATTTATTTTATTTTTCACCTCTGTTTCCTTTTTTGAATATTTTGTAAATTTTGTTGTTGCTGACTATATTTAATTTCATTATTTTCAAAAAACCCAAAAATCTGTGCCAAGTCTGTTTTCCCGCAATCATAATTTAATTCCTGCGGCCAAAAATACATTGAAGGTGTTAGGGGCGGTTTTTCATTAAAAGAATTAATAAATTGGGGCATTACTAATTTATTATTATTTGGGAATTGGGGAGAGGGAGAAGATGGTTGTTGTTTTGGCACTAGTTGTTGGATTGATGAATTATTTATTTCTTTAAATAAATTTAATATGTAGAATTGGCGGTTCGGTTACTTAAAAGAAGAATAAGGAGGATTCCCTTCATCACTCAAAAATTAGGGGTGGCCCCGACCGTAAAGAGAAGTTTGGCGGTGAAAGGGGATCACGGGGAATGGACTATCGGAGATCGGGACGGGAAACCCCTCGTTCCACGTTTTTCCCGTTCCCGTGGATCGAAGCTCGGGATCAGGGAATGCACCAAAAATAATCAGGGAATGCACCAAAAATTTGAGCAATTCCCTTCTAGACCTAATTTTCAGAATTTATTTTAAATACTCGAAGAAATTTTTTGGAACCGACAATCCTGCTTATTAATTTCCAAAGCATATCTTAATAATATTGAATTTAATTAAGATACCTTGTGAATAGAAAGGCGGGGGATTCAAAAGTGTTAATTGGGAAGGATATGAAGTTGTTGCTGGCATTAACATTTTTTTAGAAATAATTTTGTAAGCTAAGGATTTTAATAGTTTTTTTTTGCTTAATAAAAAAGTTAATTTAATGAACCGTAGGGGGAGGTAAGCAGAATAAAAAATTTTTTGAAATTCCAACACTTGTCTAATTTTTTTGTTAAAATCAGTGTACTGTAGAAAATGAGCAAATAAAAAAGTAAAGTAAATGGACAGAAAATTAAAATCTTAAAATCTCATTTTCTTCCTCTTCAATTCCCCCTATATTCTTCATTTTCCCCCTTGGATTACCCCCACGTTACTAAAAGTCAAAAAAATATTTTTTAAATGCTTGAGAGTCTATTCAACCCCATTCTCTCCCTTCGTTTAAAGTAATTGCCCTCGGATTTGAAGAAACTAGGAAGGGAAGGAGGGGAAGTCAGAAGAAGGGAAGGAAAAAGGGGTAGAAAGAAGGGAAAGTCAGAAGAAGGAAGAAGGGAGGAAGGAAGGAAGAAAATGGAAGAAGGAAGGAAAGGGGAAGAAGCAACAGCTGTGTAGCTAGAAACAACAGACGTGGGGCAATAAAAATAACGCCCATTCAGCGTGTGTGGCCCGCCCCTAATTTTTACTTTTTTTTCTTAAAAAGTAAGGAGGGGGAAGAATCATTTTAAAGCTATTAAAGGGTAAAGAAAGGGAAAATCTGTTTAATTATTTTTTCTCTCAAGAAAATTATTTCCTCTCTTATTTAAAAGTCAAGGATTAAGTGTCAGTGGATATTTGAAAATTATAAGTAGTTTTATGAGGAGGACACATGGAATGTTGTTTAACGATATTATACTGTGTTTAAGAGTAAAATTTTTGAATTTTATTATACTGGGATTTTAAGGGTACAGTAGATAATATTTAATTATATCGTAATTTGAGCAATGAATTTGAGATAATGAGTTTGGAGTAATTTTGGATAATTTAAGGACGATTAAGCAATGGAAAAAAGAAAAATTAAATTATATTAATAAGGAAAATGAGGATAAGGAAAATGTAGATAAGAATAAATGGATATACTTTTTTGAACAGAAGCACATTAATGAACCCATAAAACTTATAGCATAGAATATGCAAGTCAGAAGGCATCCTGCATCCTAAACTGTCGTTATACCCTCGAATATCTTTAGTTACCGTAAATTTTCTAATAGAAGAACACCTTCCAATAGAGGCACACTCTCTAATATACATAAGCACACCCTACGAGAGGATTAAAAAATAGAAGCACAAATGCTTCAATTAGAAGATTTACGGCAAATTGGGCTGGCTACAGTCTAGGCGATATTTCCGCGCGTTAATGCAGACCTCATATTATTATATGATTTTACCTCCACAAGGGCGTACATTATAAGGAGCATCTAAAGAGAGAGATACCAGCCCCTAAATTAATTTAAAGCCTAACAATATATTCAAATATATAAAAAAAAGTTCAACTTGCGCGTCCATTCCCCTTAAACCTCCTACACTTGTCCTCATAAATCAGCCAAATCTCTCTCCCTCTCTCTATTTTTCTAGAAAAGTGTGACGAAAAGATAAAATCAAACAAAAGTGTGAATAATTTTATTTATTTAGATTTGTATATTTTAAACAAACGATAGGAAAAGATAGCCTTGTTGCATTGCGCATTTGCTCCCTTCCTTTATAAATAATTTTGAATTAAACCATTTATAAATGCAACATTTATATTACTGTCAAATCTAGGTATAATATACTCCCTTTAATGTATACAACAGGAATGGGACAGGTTACCAGAAACCTACTGAATTTTTGATTTTAATTTTGAAAACCGACTCGAAAGCTGGCCCAACTTTTTTCACAACCCGTCCTATCCTTGATTTACACCTCTGTTTAGTGTACACTCCTTTAAGTAAGATTTGGCTAATGGCTGGTGAGAGATGCTTGACTACTAATCTCCCTTTAGTGTATGATTTTTTTAGCCCAACTCCACTTTATTTCATTAACTTTACTTTATCATATTATCAAAAGGATCTCAACTTCTAAGAAAAAAGAATCATTAAAATGTCGATTTTTAAAATATAAATCTCGAAACTAGATCAGCTCACAAGCCCAGTAGTTTCTTGTTAAAATACTGACTACCACTTAGCAACAAGGACATTTTCTGAGTGAGTGAAGAAATGTTTTTCCTTGTCCCTATGTTCCTTAAACGAATTTTTTCTCATTATTTTAGATCTTTTTATTTACTCAAATATATCATTTTATTTAAATAATTGCCATAAAACCTTAAAAATATTTACTTAGGAATTTTTAAATCGTCGGCACTTCTTCCATTTTTATCCAAAAAGATTTTTGCCTTTCTACGCTTCTCGGTTTTCATTGCGCACTCATTTTTCTAAAATTTTTTGGCGCCATTTTTGTTATTATTCAACTATTTAATCCCTTCCTTTTTCAATCATTTTGTACCGCTTTTTCTTTTTATTTACTTTTGTTTGTGATTAACTTGCGTTTAAAAAATTTTTTTTGGAGGAAGAAATTTTTTAATATGAGGACGGCATAAATACATAAATATTTATTGGAAAAACTTTGAGGGAAGAGGTAGATTAAAAATCTCAAAAAATTTCATGTTTGGGCCCTTTCTTCAAAATGTATTTTCTGTTAAAACCCCTCCGCTATACATTTAGTAGTCGAAAAAAAAAATTTCGGGAGGCCCAAGCTCGATGCCTGGCGACATATGAGAGCTGTTTTATCATTAGTCCGTGAATCACACGCTAAGTGAAGGCAATTAAGTGTTTCCAACTTAAAAATCCTGAGGCAAAAGGAATTATCTTTACTAGAGACCGGAGTGGGAGTGTCGTACGAGAATCGAGATCTCCATAAATTCTCGATCTCAAAAACCGAGATTTTCGATGAAATCTTGTCTCAGTCCAGTCTCTAATCTTTACAAATCCCAATTCACCTATAAGTGGTTCACCCAGTTCACCTACAATCACACCTCGATATCTCTCGAAATAACGAACATCTTCATTGCTCACTGATTTTTCTCTTAAATGACTCTCGATATATTTAACTCCTTTCTTCAGTCATACAGTCAAAATCAAAGTCTAGATTTCACAGTATTTCTTTTAATTAGAATTTTTAAATGCCTTTTTAAATTTTACTTTAAACTCGAAAATCACTCCCTTTTATTCCCCTTTATTCTCCTAAATTTTATTTTTAATGCGCAAACACTCTGTTTTAGTCCTCCCCACTTTTTGCCGTAATAAAGACCTTGTACTTTCATTTAAAAAATTCTTTTTATCTCCCTCTAAACTCCTTGTAATCCATAAAATGATTCATTTATTTTTTTATTTTTTGCCGCTTTTTTTATTATTTTTCAATTGCGGGGATTGCCGTAAAAGTTTTTTTTTTCTTGAAAATAAATAAAAAATATTTTCTTTTTGATTCATTTAATGACTAAAGACATTTATCCACTCATCATCCTTGGATAAAAAAAAGTGGCAAAGTTTAATAAAAAGCGGTATATAAAAAAGTAATATTCCCGCATTAAAACTAGGCAAAAAATAGAGTCATTAAAAAGGTTTGGATATTAAAATAATTTTTTGAGAATAATGGAAGAAAAATGGAAAAATATGTGAATGTGATTATTAAAAAAAATAAATTTAATAAAACTTAAAAATCAAAGAAAATCAAAGAAAATTTGCGGACTACCATTCGGAAGGGGCCCAATCTGAGGACAAATTCGAACGAAATCTGGTTTTTTTGGCCTTCCAAAAATTCTCGAGAATTTTTGGTGAAAATGGAAGAAAAATGAAAGTTTTTGGGGATTGTCTCTTGCGCCCGTTCCTGATCAGGAACTCGTCTTGGAGTGTTCTACCTAGTTCAAAATCCTTTTAAAAAAGTTTAAAGACTTTAATCTTGCGGAGATCAACTAATCACTAGTGGTCGGACCAAGACGAGATCTCATCGAAAAATCTCAGTTATCGAGAATCGAGACTTTTGAGATACGATCTCAGTTCTCGTAATCTCCCAGACCGGTCTCTACTTTTCAGTAAACGGTATTTTGGGGAAATATGTTCGTAGACAGACTTAAGGAAATAAATTCAATCTTATTTAGGATTGAACTAAATTCTCAAATATTTTTTAGTTTTAAAAAGATTTTGTAATATTTGCGGACAATATTTTTTGCGGACAATTTTTGCGGACTAATATTTTTGCGGACTAAAATTTGCGGACATATCTGAGATTTGCGGACAAAATATTTAAAAAACTTTCCTCATATCTTTTAAATCTCCACATTCTTTATTTTACCTAAAAACTTTAAATTTCCATTGTTCTACATATTCATAATATTTGAATTATTAGATTAATGTTTGTTGCCTTTAGCAATTTTAAAGGAGAGGCATGTACGGTAATAAATAAACGAGTAAATAAATGTATTTAGAGAGGTCTCTCTCTCCCTCAAACAAAAAAACAGATTGACCTGTCAGATAATTCTTCACATACTAAAACATGTTTAAAGCCAAATTTTTTTTGTGTGTTGATGGTTGGGGACCGAGAAGTGGGGTCTATAAAAATAACAATAGGATGAACAGTAAGGGGAGAAAAAATAAAAAAATATTTTTGGAGGGGGGGGGGGAGGTGGAGGGGAGGGAAGGGGACTATTAATGAAAAACAATAAATGAGGAAAAATGAAAATATTTGGAGAAAAGATTTTTTAAATAATAGAATTTTGAAAAAAAATTTTTCTAAAGGCTTATTTGTAAAAAAATAACATTTTCAGGTTATGTAATATAGTTTGAATGGAAATTTTGAATGAATTTTGAATGAAAAACAAATATTTATATAGAATATTATTTAATTAGTAAATAGTCCTATTACCTTTTAATTATCTTCTAAAGGTTTAATAATAAATTTTAATTAGTCAATCAGTTAGTTTGGAAAGTAGAGATTGTACAAGACGAGATCTCGATCAAACATTAATCACCTTTAAACCCCCTCAAAGCCAAAAGGAGCGTACCCACTAAGTTTTCCTTATCAGAATAAAACAGTAGAGCCGGGCAGTACAGAATTTTTGTGGTTGCCGAAAGGGCGATGTTCAAACA